AATAGTCCAAATGTCCAAGGGTCCAATGGTCCAGTCCATATTTTACCCTATGCCAAGAGATAATCATTTTCTCTTGACTTGTCATATCGCGTGTGCGACCGCTTGTCTATCTGAAATTGTATGTATCGAAAATATGTTATAATGAGTTTGCCCGTGAGCGCAAATTTATCCGACACTGTATTAACCAAAGTCCACTTCCAAATCTTCGTTTAAAAGCTGAAATTAAAAGCACTCCGCTGACCCTACAAACAACAAAGGAAAGCCGCAAAGCATAAGTTTCTCTCTCCGAAAGCGACACCTTATTATCGTTAAAAATATTTGGCAACACTAATTACCTCACCGGAAATTAATTTGTTGTTTTAACTGTATACTTGTCATATCGATTAAAAGCAGTCTGCTGATCCTACAAACAGAAAAGGAAAGCCGCAAAGCCTTCACCTACCGCCTGTGCGACTTACTTGTCTATCTAAACTTGTATGTATGGAGGGTATGTTCTTATTATGAGTTTCTCCGTGAACGCAAATTTATCCGACATTGTTTAAACCAAAATCCACCCCTAAATCTTCTTTTAAAAGCTACAATTAAAAGCAATCCGCTGAACCTACAAACGGCAAAGGAAAGCAGCAAAGGAACTCCCAGAGTGCATTTCGCTTCCACAGGGGGATAAATCGTGCGCGACATAAGCGCACGGACATAAGCGTGACACACTATGCGAAATCACTATCCAAAGGAATGCATGCATGCCACACAATACGTCATTGCTTAAAAAATGCCAATCAAGAAGGGATGGAGTTATCAGGACTTCCGAGTGAAGTTATCAGGTGTTGGGAACAAGCGTTTCAATCAATAGACCCCTTCATGCTCTAAGGAGCATTATGGGTAATCAGGGCAAGATTGTAAAGAATCAAAGCGGCAAACGATACGTTTTTCTTCATATTTCCGCCCCGAGTTTAATTTTCGAGAAGATACTTTTATTTGTAAATAGAGAAACCTCTTTTCTACGTTTACTAGCGTTTTTGAGTCGATTGAGCGAGGCTTTAGCCGTCCTCTCAGAGTATCGGAGATGTTATTTTTGTGGCTTGAGCGGCTAAGACTTGATGAAGTTATTCGGGTCTAACCGTAAAAAAGTTCCTACGCCCCCAACAATCACTCGATCGGCTTAAAAACGCTGGTACACCTAGAAAAGGGTTTCCCCATCTACAGTATGCGTGTCGTCTCCAAATGTGAAATCCGAATGGGAATATAAAGAACAACGTTTGTCTTACGGCTTTCCTTCTTTGTAAATTTGCTCTGATCACCCATAATGTTCCTTACAGCCTGAAGGATATATATATATATATATCTTATATTCCTTAAAGTTCATATGACATGAAAAATAATTTCAGCTTATTTGAAAGGCCCTTCAAAATGCAGAAGAATGGCGTTTTTCTTTTTAAAATATCTTTTTTCGTTTTAGAGATATTGACGTTTTTCTATTATGCAAATTAGCTCAGTGATGACGTCACATTGTTTGCAACTAAAAACGGTAAAATACTGAATAAACAATATCTCTAGAAATATTGAAGCAGTGTTCTTGAAACTTGGCACCGCAAATGTACATCACAAAAGAAACAAAATGACACCCTTATGTTTAAGCTCAATGATACAATGTACTGTGAAGTTCTACTTGAGCAATGAAATTTAACAACTAAAATTGTAAACCAGTTTAACTGCTTTCGTATAAATAATGCTGGGTTCTGTAAGAAGATTCTCGTGGACTCGGGATCCTGTGAACCATTACCTAACTGCAAGGATAAACTACGTAGCAAGGGAATTGATGAATGGCAGCAGAGCTTCTGCTTGTGTACATACCATCCAGAATAAAAATCCATTGCAAATCAACTCTGGAAAAGATATGGGATCCCTTGCCTCATGATGCGCCAAAAATGTTCTCACACTTTCTTCCGCTAGTGGAGAGAAAAAGGACCCACCTTCATCTGGCCCCTGCTTCCTTTGGAGCACCTCTTCATTAGCCTCCTTTGCAGATGCCCTTTAGGTGCGATGAGTGACAAGCACAATGAGTTTNCACCTTCATCTGGCCCCTGCTTCCTTTGGAGCACCTCTTCATTAGCCTCCTTTGCAGATGCCCTTTAGGTACGATGAGTGACAAGCACAATGAGTTTCTGCATAGAAGGCTACCTCTCCATCGGCTTCTGCCTATGTGACATGATTTCAGTTTCTTAAAATCCCTTTGCAGGTTGCAAAATGTAGATGTAGGTGTAGATTCTGTAGATGCTATACCGTCCTTATAAACAGTGGGTCAAACTGGCTCTGAAAAGTATTTTTATTGATGCTAAACTAGGCTGACAGCACTATTACTGTGAAGTTCTGAAATGTAGTTAAGACATTCAAGGCAAATTTCAATAGACAGTAATGCACAACAAAAGAATGAAAAATGGAGAGGATCTAGACAGGTGACTTCTCACTGAATATATATATCTGCCATGAACTCGTTGGGTTCAAGAAGGAGGTGGTGATCTGTCATGCGAGCGCAGAGTTTCGCTGATTGCCCCTCTAATAGTCAATAGGCCAATTTCGATATATTAAAATTCTTGCTTGTATTTCAGGCTTACGGGAATAAAACAAAAGTAATCGCATTGAGGTTGAGGGATGAATAATTAATTTATTTTGTTTTATTCCGCTAGGCCTCAGAACAAAGTTAGAATTTTACTATATCCAAATTGGCCTATTCCCTCTATGACAAGTTCCTGCAGGGAATCATGGTTATTGTATTCATCAGAACAAATATCCAGTCCAAGATGATGAATACAGCTACCATGATTCCCTGCAGGCAGATCTCATTGAAGGAATTAATTGGCTCTTTGCCGTTAAAATGTGAAAGTTATTGGGAAAAACAAATGCACTACATTTTTTCCTTGTTTCCTTGAGTTTTTGAATAATTTAAGGCGTCACTTGTGTGGTCTTTAAGAGTGCACACCATGGCCATGAAAACATTGCACTCATGGTAAAAGACTCAAGGAAAATCTTCAGTCCCAACCGAGAAAGCGGGAGGAGGTTGAACACAGGGAAATACACAAATACAAAGTCGGTCGCAGGCTTTCTATTTACATCTTCAAATAGATAGAGACAGTTTTCATTTGAGTGTCGAAAAGTGATTGGTTTTGCATCAAATACGCTACATGATTAACTTAAAAAACTCGCGCCACTTCATCCAATCAGAAGCAAAATCAAAACCAATCGTGACTCGTTCGCACTCGTTTTCCCGCGTTTCACAGCAGCGGCATGTAATTATTAGGCGTTTTGATTGGTTTACTGTACTGTCTGTATCCTTTGTGATTGGCGAGAGTGATTACTTTGGTTTTGGTTTTATGACACTCAATTGAACCCTATAAAGAGACCAAAAAATTCACAATTAGTTGTAACTGGACTGACTACAACTGTCCCTGCGGCTAATGTGACAGTTTAGACTACAGGATCGCTGCGAAACCAACATCATCACGTATATTTTTCACGTTTTAAAGATTTCAGGCTCTAACTAGATGTAACAAGACCAATATATTTTCTTACGACGACTTTTTTCTTTTGTGCAACATTAAGCCTATAACTATTGAAAATGATCGCTTTTTCGGAGATCCTGGTTCAAGCAGAAAATTCACTTTGCACAAGATATCATATTGCCAAAACAACTTTAAAATCAACAAATTATCTTTACTACCTTCAATGAATTTCTGTCACTCCATCGGACTAAGGCCCCTCGGTACTACGCCGGAGAAATTTGAAAACGCAGCTCTATTTCTACGATTAGGCCTACCGTCAACACTAATCCGTCCCGAAAACGCTTTTTACAATAACTGCAGAAATTCTCGCGCTACTTGGCTAATTTTAATTGTCAATAAGCGGACAGACACATGAATTTATAATTTATGCAATGTAGATTAGCAAAAAAACAAATTGACGGCGGTTTTTCATTCGTCTGTCCTGTTATTGACAATGAATTTCGATCCACAGCTACTTTGACAATGTTACGACGAGATTCATGATCAATAACAGGACAGACGCATGAAAACCTGGCGTCAATTTGTTAACTTCAAACCGGAGGAATTCGAAAACGCCGGCTTTGAGTTATAGTGTGAACGGAGAACATTTTGAGAACGAAGCTTTATCACGATAAAAATGTGATTTTTCTTACCGAGTTTACCTCAAACACAAATCCAAAATGACCCCACGGTGATTGTTGCGTCTTCAAATTTCATACAGTACTCATGTCAAAGATATTTCTTTCTCAATGAAAGTAGTAGCTAATAGTTGTAAAATAAGGTTAATTTAATTTTCTTTTGATAACGTCTAACTAAGGCTGCTTGAGAAAGGTCCAAACCAATTTGCTTCATCTGAGCTACGAAAGATGTTTTAATATTTCCGAAGTCTGTAATATTTCCTTTTAAAGGAAAAGACAATTATCAAAGAAAATTGTTTCATGATACTTGAATTGTCATACATATGAACGTGGAAAGTATTTCTGATAAATCTATTATCACAAACTTTATCCGTAGTGTCCGTAAGTAACCCCCCAAAAGTAACGTTAAAAATTTGTGACCGCTGATAGATTCCAAAAGTAGCTACCCCTGTCCCTCGTAAAGTAGCGAGGCCCCCCGTACCCCGAAAATAGCGAGACCAAGGTTCAACTGTAGATTTATTTTTCCAGTCAATAGTGAAGTGAAAGTAACGTACCGATAATAACGATAATTTCAACTCTACAACAAGGGAAGGTATCACTTATGCAGCTTATGCCATGATGCCAATTCCTGCTTCATCAGTTCATGTTGTGCCGTATAAAAACAAATCCAAAACATAACCATAAAAAATGCACCCAGTTAAGTCTTAATAAAGTCCATTC